TACTTGGGAGATAGGCCAAGCAAGAGGGCATGGGCCAACTAAGTATTATCAAGTTGAAGTAGAAAAGACAGTACACTGCTTTTTAGTTTTTGTCTTCTTTTGCTATATGTTTTGCTATTTCCTTGTGGCTTAGAATGTAAAATCAATTGTTAAAAAGTTTTGTTCTAAATAAATATTTATCTTTTGTATTGCTAAAAAAAAGACTACCATAAAAAATTATTACTATTTAATTTTTAAAATAATTAGATGCATGTTTATTACAAAATTATTTTTTAGGAAGTTCTCAATTGTGTGTGTGTGTGTGTGTGTACATACACACAAACACACATAAGTGTTTGTATATATATTTCATGACAAATTTTGGGACTATAATTTTTTTCCAGTTTTCATTTGTGTTCTCTTTAGATACAGTTATTTTCAATTAAAGGAAGTATCAAATGAAGTATTTTGTGACACATTTCAGGAGAATTTGTGATACCAAATTACTAAACACAGCACATTAACACTGGRAATAAAGGTACAAATGCATCTGGTTTGAATAAGGACTTTATTATGCTGGAATTTCCGTTGTATGGCCTCTGATGTCTTCAGCATGCAGTCTAGCCACGCAGTCACCCCTAGATGGTTTATTGGAGTTCTTCTCTGCACTTGTGCAGGGACTGGGTGGGACTCTGAGCAAATTAAAGATATAGTGGCAGGTAAGTGCAGGTTGTCACAGCTGATTTCTGGCTCATGGGTTTATTTTTATAATCACTTTCCTTAACCTGGTCCAAATAGCAGGAGTATATTTGTCTCTTCCTAGTTGTAAGCAATAAAAGGCCAATTAGCTTGACAGGAAGTTCAACTGGTAAAGTGCTATCCTAATTCAAATCATTGTCCCTGAAGTTTACAATTCAGAAAGCAGCTTTGAGAAGAAAAAGACGGTGGAAAACAACTTTATRTATCCTTAGAGACTCCAGTGTGCTCCCAGCCTTTATGTCATGCCGCTTGGTTTGACAGGTTGCTGTAACCTTCAAGGGTTTATTGCTATAAAAGCCGGGTTAGGTCTTGTCATTCCATCTAAATTTTCTTCTTTGTTCACAGTGCGAGATGAGGATGGAAGCACGCCGAAAAAATCTTCTCATTTTGATTTTGCATTACTTAACACAAGAAGGGTATGTCACATTACGAACATTACAGARATGATCCTCTCTTTCTCTGACCTCTGCTTTTCCAGCCACAATTAAAAGAGCAGGTTCATATTTATAGAAAAATTGAGTAGAAGGTAGAGTCCCCACATACCCACTCCTTCCCCTKGCTTCCTTTATCATTATTGTTATTATTTTTTTGTGGCTTTGGGGTTTGTGCATGCCGGGCAAGCTTATTATTATTATTGCTGTGCTGAGGATCAAACCCAGGGCCTATAAGAAGGGGTGCTACCACTGAGCTACATTCCCAACCCTCCTATTAATATCTCAAATTCACAGGGTACATTTGTTAATGAACCAATTTTGATACATTGTTATTAGCTAAAGTCCATAGTTCATGTCAGGTTTACTCTCTGTTGTACAGTTCTGAGTTTTTTGTTTGTTTGTTTGTTTTTGTGAGGGAGTACCAGGGATTGAACTCAGGGGCACCACTGAGCCACATCCCAGCCCTATTTAGATACAAGGTTTCACTGAGTTGTTTAGTATCACTTTTGCTGAGTCTGACTTTGGACTCGCAATCCTCCTTCCTTAGCCTCCCAAGCTGCTATGATTACAGGCTTGCGCCAGTGTGCCTCACTGAGTTCTTCATTTCAACAGATACKGAGTGACATGCATCCATGATGACATTGTCATACAGAATTATTTTGCTGCCCTAAAAATCCTCTATGTTTCACCTATTCTTCCTTCTTGTYGTTCTACCAGACAAATAAGACATACTTACATTGTCTCATTTACCTACATATTTTTCACATTATGCATTGAAAACTTTATTGACAGATCTACTTAGTACACAAAATACTTCTCCTTTCCTCTTCAGGTTTAAAGATAGCATAGAAATGCAATGACTCTCTTCTTAATTATTTTTTTCCTTAAAATATTGGAGATTTGTTTTTGATTCAGGGTCACCTCTGAAACATCAAAATATGTGTGGGCCATGTTTTTTGAGATTTTTTAAAAAGGTAGTCTTTTAAAATAAAAAAATGAAATTTCTGTAAGTGTATTTAAGCATTCTTTTATTTTTTAAGTCACTGAAAAACTCAAGGTTTCGTTTTTGGTTTTGTTTAAATTTAAGATGCATGCATGTTGGTCACTAATTTTAACTCTACACCTTGAACAAACTTTGTTGTTGACTTACTTTTTTTCTCTTAATTGACAATGTTGTAAGCTGTTTAATTGTGTAAGCTGTTTAACTGCAAAATGTGACTTAATATCAAAATTTTGATAATGACTTTTCTCCCCAGTAAAGGTGATGAAATTACTACAATGTCTTTAACACAAAAACATCCACCACCCTCACTTACTTTGAAACACAGTTTTATCAGGCGTCGCTTTTTGATGTTTAGAATCTAAATTTTATTGAGAAAATGGTTCATTCTGTTTTAATCAGCCTTTTCACTGCTCTGACTAAAAAACCCAACCAGAACAACTGTAGAGGAGGAAAAGTTTATTTAAGGGCTCACAGTTTCAGAGGTCTCAGTCCATAGACAGCCATTTTCATTCCCCAGGGACCCCAGTGAGGCTAAACATCATGGTGGTAGAACCAGGCAAAGGGAACCAGCTCACATGATGATCAGAAAGCAGAGAGAGAGAGAGGTCTCCACTTGCCAGATACCAGTATATACCCCAAAGCCACTTGCCAATTCCCACCTCCTCCAGCCACACCCTACCACTGCAGTTACCACTCAGTTAATCCCTATCAGGGGATTAATTCACTGATTGGGTTAAGACTCTCTTAACCCAGTCTTTTCTCCTCTGAACCTTCTTGCATTGTCTTACATGTGAACTTTCACATCCAAATCATAACAATTCTTTCCCCATCACCAACCGTCTTAAACCAGAGACATGAGTGGGCCGGCCATCAATTGATGCTCAACAGCTGAATTTCTGTATCCACTCATAGCATTAGGGAGAAAGCAATAAGCTGAGAAGAACAGGCCTGGATTTCAGTCCTTTCTATGTCGCCATTTGCAATGTGAGGATATTCTTGAAATTGATGAGCCAAGCCGTATGAGAGGTCCATGGGTTGTTCTGAGTTATTCTCCAGTCCCTAAGGAAAGCAAATCTAAGGGCAGTATAGGAGAAAGTGCCAGGTGTCTACTCTAAGGCATGAGTATGTGGCTCATTAAGGTAGGGAAAGCTTCCTAGGTAAGTGCACAGACTTTGGAGCTAGACTTTGGGTTTTGTGTGTGGTGCTGGTGATTGAACCCAAGTCATCACACATGTGAGGCAAGCACTCTACCACCAAGCTACATCCCCTGCCCTTTCAACTATTTTTATTTTGAGACAGGTTCTCACGAGTTGTCGAGGCTGGCCTGGAACTTGTGATCCTCYTGCCTCTGCCTCCTGAGCAGCTGTGATTATAGACATGTGGCACCGTGGCCAGCAGAAGCCAGTCCATTTTTATGTTAAATGCCTGCTCTATTCTTTGCTAATCTATCTTTGCTATTCTTTGTTAATCTAGTTACCTAGTCCAAGATCACATGTTTAATGAGAATTAAATATGTGCCATGCTTAGAATAGAATAGTACACAAAGTAATCTCCTATGAGCATTTGCTATTTTTACTATAGAGGAGATGGGTTTGGATTTTATTATTTTTATATACAACATGGTTTAAAACATATAGAATGAGGATTTGGTCCATTTTACATCATCTTTTGATGGACTATCAGTTCTATCTAAAGAACCCAGAAGTGTGTAGAACATTGGAAACAATAATTTTGAGAAAAAGTGTTACTTAAATTAATATTGTACTCAGGTGAACTTAGGTTAAACTAAGGTAAACAAGCCCCCTTATTTCAGGACTTCTCAAACCATCTAATTTGCWATGTGCAGTGGGAGTATCTGTGCTAACATACTAGGTATTTAGGGTTCTGCAAACCAACTTGGCCAAGGAACACTTTTTTTTTTTCCCCTGAGACTATTTTAGAGACTATTTTTCTATGGAACATTTTGAGAATGCTGTCTTTGCAGATTAATTGGCTCATATGAAACTTAGACTCATCATGCTAGGACTCAGAACTATGAGCATAATATTAACAGTTGTTCAATAAATGTCATCTGAGTAACCACTGAGGAACTTACTAGAATGTAGATGGGTAGAATAGAAAGCAAGACAAATATATTTACACAGACAATCCCTGATTTTTATTGCAATGCATTTTGCATTCAAGAAATTGTCTCATAAATAAGAACTGTAGAAACAAAAAGACTAGTAAGTCAGTACAACTAACTCTTTTTTCAGTTTTTATTATGGCCAGAATTTACTGTATACYGCTTAAAACATATGCATTTCCCCAATTGGCCACTAGATGGCGCTTTGAATATCAAATCAATGAAAATTCTACCTGAGCTGATAATTTTCCTGAGACCTGCAGGGAAGTGGGTGAAAGAGTGGGTTATCAAGATGAAAAGTGAACAATAGGTATTTTAAAGGACATGTCAATGTAAAGAAAAAAATATGTGTATTTCCTAAGTGAAGTTCTGGGAATTCAGCAAAGAGAACAGATTATTGTAGATGGGAATGACCAACCGGGAAAAGTCTTGCAGAGGTGATGTGATCAGGATTTGATAGATATGTAGAATATACATTAAAAAGTGTGACAGGCAGAGGTGCAGAGGAAGAAGGGGCATGGCACAAGTGGAACCCTTAAAGACCAGCATTTGAATCTGCAAGTGGGAATTAGTGAAGGCAGACTCTGGAGGTCATGGATGCTGGTCTTCAGTCCCACACATCCAGCCTCTGGGGCCTGAATGATGTGACAGCCTTCCTCCTGCATCTGGTTCAGTCTTACATGCTACGGTCCACTCGTAGCCTACTGCTCTTTCCGATATTCTGTCCTGTCACTCTGTTGACTAAGAACCCAAGTGGTGCCATGACAGAACTCATTCCAGCTCAAAGAATATATTAGAAATCCACAGAAGCAAATTTGTTCCTCTGATCATTAGCCTAGGAAGCATGGGGCCTGCAGTCATCTTTTCTGGAAAATTTTAAGTCAAAATTCCACAATCCTGGAAATAGTTCAGAATGCAATGTGATTTAGTATGGACTACAAGCAACCTAAAGTGCATGTCCTTAGCTTCCTTCTTTGTTTATTTATTGCTTTATAGGTGCATACATGAACTTAGTCATTTTAAAAGACAGAAAGATGTTGAATCATCTCTGAGCATCTTTTGACTTATCTGTATGTTCTAGTTGTGTCCTAAATGGACATGTATTACTTTATACTAAACAAAAATTAGTTATTTTAAAAACATATTTTGTTTTCAATCCCTGTAAAATGGGAATTAAGACACAGCATAGTATATAGGCTGACTAACTCCCCAGTCAACTGACTGACTGTGGTTTGTGAATTCTTTAAAATTAGCTTGAGAGCCAGGCACAGTGGTGCACACCCATAATTCTAGCAACTTGGAAGGTTGAGACAGAAGGCCAGCTTCAACAATTTAATGAGACCCACAGCAACTCATTGAGATGCTGTCTCAAAATAAAAAAAATTAAAAGAGCCAGGGATGTGGCTCAGTGGTAAAACACCTCTGGGTTCCATTCCTAGTACAAAAAAATATATATATAGCTTGAGAGAGATAAATACATTTAAAAGTCATTGGCAATAATCATGGCAACCTCTTTAAAGAATAAATTTTCTAATTGACCTGAATCTTGTGGAGAGAAGAGGACATAATAAAAAAGAAAGTTTGCCTTCCCAGGTTTGAATCAAAGAGAAAGAACTCTAACCTGCAGCAGGGATTCTTGTTTTTAAAAAAAAAAAAAAATTTTATGTTTTAGCTTTAGTTGGACACCATACTATTTACCATAAATATTTTATTTAYTTATTTTTATGTGGTGCTGAGGATGGAACCCAGGGCCCTGCATGTGCAAGGTGAGCACTCTACCACTGAGCCACAACCCCAGCCCCTCCCTGCAGCAGGAATTCTTAACCTGAGGTCCTTGGATAAGACCTTGAAAATGTATAGTAATTTGTGTGTATTTGCACATGTGAAAACTTTTTAAGAGAAAACCATTAGTTTTAAAAAGAAATTAATAACTAAGAATTGAGACCTGGAGAGTCATTCTATTTTCAGAGGTTTTTGAGTCCTTGCTTCTCATGGTATCCACTTACATTGGACAGTCTTACCACAAAAACAAGTCAAAAATGACAGTTCAGAACAGTGGTGATGAAGCTACTTACACGTGGAAGCACCTTTAGTGTAATGTTTGACTAACTCAAATTACTGGAAATAACCCGTCCAAGCAGATGACATCTTCTCACACTAAATTTCTTCAGTGATGCTCATTGACTTATGCTTGGGATTTCCTTCAGGGCTCATGACACATTGCTTTGAATTGTCCTAATGGAGACAAATCTTCCTTTGGGGATTGAATTTGGATTTTAACAATTTCCAAATATTACCTAAAATGAATACTGGTAAATAAACAGGTAAGAAATTTAGGCAAACCCATTTTTGGCTGAAGATGAGTAAAAGTAATTTATAAGACATTTAGTTGACTCACTTATTTGACTTTAAAGCAAATTAAAATTTTTTGAGCAATGATGACATTATTTGTGTAAGTATGAAGCTTCCAGAGGCAACTGTTTTGAAAGACATATTTGGATGAACTCAACATGTCTAAGGTCCTTACTCTCTAGAAAAACCTCACATATTCTAGTTTTCATCTGCTGTTCTATTTAAGGCTAACTCTCTGTATTGAGTCTCTTTGGACTTGTAATGCCTATTTTCCTTTTTTTGTACCCAAAGTTAATTATTTTTTCTTCTATAAAACTACCAGATATATTGATGCAGCCAATGCTTTGGAGCAAGAAACCAAACTGGGGTTACGACGCTTTGAAGTTTGTGACAACATTGATCTTGAAACTATTTTGATGGAATATGAGAGTTATTATTTTGTAAAATTCCAGAAATACCCCAAAATTGTTAAAAAGGCATCAGATACAGGTACATGACTATTTTCTAGATATAAGTTTTTTATTGCATCGTTGTCAGATAGATGGCACTCTGCACCCTGCACTGTAAGAGGAGACCAGAAAGATCATGCAGCCTCTTGATCCAGAGCAGACACCCTGTACACGACCATCTGGATATTGACGTCCCTTTAGTCATGTYGGCATTTGTTTGAGGAATGTATGTCTTAGGACAATGAAAGCAAAACCCAAGAGTACTGCAGGTGCTCTTTATAAGACCAGCATTAATTTCTGCAGAGACAGAGTGGGCTTTTGGAAGAGGATGAATGACAAAGACTTTTTCTTGTTAGGAAGACSTATTATCTATCTTGAAAATAACATGAAAATGAGTATTGGTGAAGCTAATAGCTCATGTATAGATAATGAAATGCTTTTGAAAGCCATCAATCCAGATAATGATCAATATAATGCAAAGACCTGATATAGGTTAGCATTCAAGGAGGTTGGCTGGAGGGGAGATCTAAAGCCAGGGCTCTAGGTTTTGTAGTAACATTGACTTAGAAGTCTGTAAGTGGGGGGAAGTAATTATAAACCAAGGGAGATCATTGTCCTGTTTACAAGGCACTTGTTAAGCCACAGACTTTAACATTTCATGTAGGGACCAGGAAACTGAGAGGAACGTCATTTAAAAATAGCCAAGCCTGAATCTCAGAGCTGGAAGGGGTCTGAGAGGTATTTTGTCTGAGCTTCCTTCCAATGCAGGGTTCAGAGCTTGGCTTTCTTGGCCATTTGTTAGGTATGGACCTTGAGTTAGCCTTGCCTCCTAAGCACAGGGTTGCTAGGACTCTTAGACACATGATCTGATTTCTAGATGGCTGGCTGTCATCCTGGTCCCCACATTCTCCTGTGATCTTGCACACCGTGTTTTGATTTTAAGGTAAACTAGGAGAGTATAACTTATATGTTTCTTACCAGACTCACATAATTTTTGTGGGGTTCCTCTGCACCCCAGCAAATAGATATAATTTTTTTTTATCACATCATGATGTCAGGTTCATGAAAACTCAATGAAATGGCAGCTGTCAAGCCAACCTGAATTGGAGTTGCCTTTATGGCATGCGCTGTCCACCACATTTCCTGTCTGAGGACTTGAGGTCTTTGTGTGGAGATGCCTGGGAGCTTGACTTTTTTCCTCCTCCTTGGCAATTTCACTTCTCACTAGATCAGGCTGAGTATCTTGTCCAAAAGACTGTAAAACAAACTTTTAGAACAATGTAAAAGGAGAAACGTACCCAAAACTACTTTGTCTCCTAAGATTAAATTCTTTCCTTTTCTCCCAATATTTGTTTTGCCACAGGAGAAAATAATTTACCACCAAGAAGTGGAGGGAAGACCAGAAGGTAGAGTGAATAATAATTTGTCTTGATCAACTCAACTCTGGGAGTATGTGGGATCTTTCTAGAAGAATCTCTAGTGCCTCTCCATGGCCAACTACCAGCAATACCAAACTATGGTCATGTGACCATAGTGGGCTCAGCCATGGAATACCCTCAAGTTACATCTGTCCAGAACATGGACCAATGTTTGTTAGTTTTTCTGGTTTTACTGCAAATAATTGCATAGAGTGATGCTGTCTTTCTAGGCCATGTAGCATGTGGAGTGTGGGCCTCATAGGGTAAAAGACCCAGACCCAGTTCCTGGCTTTGCTATTTATAAGAATGGAGCAAATTTCTGTCCCATACTGAGTGCCTGGCACACAGAGCACCCAAGGAATTCTATTTTCCATTTTTATTTTTACTTATTTTTTTTTTTTGGTCCTGGGGATTACACCCAAGGCCACTTTATAATTGAGAAACATCCCTGATCTTTTTCTATTTTTATTTTGAGATAGGCTCTCACTAATTTTCTGAGGCTGGCCTGGAGCTTGTGATCCTCCTGCCTCAGTCTACTGAGTTGCTGGGATTACAGCTGTGTGCCACCCAGCCCCGTTTTTTTTAAAACCTATCTAAATAGGATCTGTAATTTCTCTGTGTGCTCTAGATTACTAAAAAAAAAATGTTTATTTACCTCAGGTTAAGTGTTTAGAATAATCTCCTCCAAGGTTTTTGTCCCYTTCCTCAGGATGATGAGTGACAGTTGTCAAAATCTTCCCAAGATCAATCAACAGAGGCCACGATCCAAAACCGTGGCAGGGAAGATGGAGGACAACAAATCTCTCAACAAGGAGCAACCAAAACAGGTGAGGTGGCTTTGCTGGATGTCGGCAGTTTCACACTTAGCTGAGAAACAACCCCAAGAAAAAAAATATCATTTTTATAAAATTTTGAGGCCCTATCTTTTAAAAATTGCAATATGGTTTAATTGAATTGTGGAATTCTCTGAAAGTTGTAGACTTCTACTATGCTGGATGAAAACCATAGACAAATCTGCAGATTCTCCAGTGTTTCTTAATTTGAGCACGAGGACTCCTTCCTGTCTCCCCCCACCCCCCCCATATTTCCCCTAGATTGAGTGCAGGAAAGAGGGGCTTGAGGGTAGGGCCTGGAAATTGCAGAGCTCCAGCTTCCCGGCTGAGGTAACTGCAGGTGACAGGACTTCAGTGTATCTAAGCATATCCTTGGGTTCTTACGTAGAGACCAGGGATATCTCCAGTGTGACTGGATCTCAGAATCTCCTGTTGGGCTTATCCCAGACCTCCATACTGAAATTTCTAGAGGAGGAAAAGACAGTAAAAGGAAAGAACCTGAGAGGTGGGAAATCGATGCCTTCTGACTCAGGAGATCCATATCTAGAACCTTCTTAACTAGGACAAAACTTTCCCAGCTTTAAAAGAAAGAAGAGCAATAGAAACCCAGAAAAGGAATGGGAAAGAATCAATGCCCAAGATTCTTGGCTAGAAGATTCCTTGAATAGAAAGGAATAATCCTAAGACCCAGTTGGTGAAAAGGAACCCCTCACCCTCAAGGAGGGTCTAGGCCGTGGCCTCCTGGGTCTGGCTCAGGAGGAGGAGAGGTGACCTGGGACAGGCCAGTCACACAGGAGGCTGGCTGATCTTGCTGTGTCTCCAGACTTGGCCAGACCTGCCGCAGACGTTCTGGAACAGGAGGAAGGACCAGTCGGCAAGTGGGGACGGGTTGAGGCACAGCTATTTCCTCCATTGGAAAAGCTGCTCRGAGCTCATGGCCTGTGGGATCTCAAGTCTTCCCTCAGGACACAGGTAGAGAGTTACTTCCTCTCACTGGGTCACAGATGTGGCTAAATAACACACAGGTCTGGCTCCCCACTGACAGGATACCTGGCCTGTGGTTTTGTCAGGGGCACTGACAACTCTAAGCAGCACCTCTAAGCAGCTCCCACAGCTGGCTGCTCACCATGTCCCTCTGTCCTCAGGGCATCAATAACACTCCCCTGGAGACCCCTGACTTTGGCTTAAACATATCAAGAATCCACAAAGACAGTGGAGAGGAAAGTGCCCACCCACGAAGAGTAAGTGGAACTCAGGACACTGAAGCGGGGTGGTGTGGGGGGGTTCTTTTAATGAACACAAGGCAGTATTTTTGTCAAACAGGGAAGTTAAAACCTCATGATCAAATGTTGGCTGTGAGGTACACTGGTAAGAGTGCTGCATGGGAATGAGAAAATGGGTTCCTGCCTTTGTGGAGAAATGGTCTGGAGCCCACTGCCACATCTCCAAGGAGCTCCTTTGTTCCTTATTTGTAATACACTTAGGGTTTGGAAGGGGTGGAGGATCACGATAAACACTGGCCTGGCGGTGCTGCCTGAGCTGTGGCCTCCTGCTCATTCCTTTAGACTCTGACAAGGTAGTTGAATAGCAGTCACCCTTGTCCTTGGGGATGTGGCTCCAAGTTTACGTGGAATTCCATGTGGACCAGGAAACCTCAGTTGAGCCAGGGCTGGGATCCTTCCCTTGATAGATACGTCTGCCCTTGTCATTATGAATGCCACGTCTGGATTTGTAAATGAGAGTTTCTCAAAGAGAGAAGACCCAGGCTGGGTGAATGCAGTCAAAAGGCAGCTCTGCCATGTCCTTTGGGAGTGGAAAGCACCACATTCCTCTTGACTGCTCCCTCCAGGGCGGGGGTTCTTCAGGAGTCTCCTCAATCTTAAGTCAGATCTGAAACTGTGGACAGCTGACTTAGCTCTGGCCAGCTCTTCTGGCAAACTACTCTGTGTGTGTGTGTGTGTGTGTGTGTGTGTGTGTGTGTGTGTGTGTGAGAGAGAGAGAGAGAGAGAGAGAGAGAGAGAGAGAGAGGGAGAGAGAGGGGGGGCAGGGAGCCTCTCCCTGGAAATCAAGGGGTGCTTCCTCCTTGGCCTGAGCTGACTTCCTTTAAGGGCCCCAATGAACTGGGCAATTGCTGGAGATGATGCCACTCGAGTCAATGTCCCCCCAGAAAGCAAGGTTTCCTTCTTCACCCTCTCTGCTTTTGTCATGTTTTCAGTCCCTTTTGTGCCTGGCAGTTTTTTGTGGCTTTGGTTTCTTTTGTGAATGCTTACATTGATATAAACGGACGTTTCTGATTGGGTCACAAGGAAGGGGCGATTTAGCCCAGCACTTAACCTTGGAAACAGTCTGGCTATAATTCTCTTTCCAGCAGAAATGTCCTGGGGTGAAATGTGAATGGTTTTCTCCCCAGTGTTTTAAGTGCACATAGGCTGAATGAGGGTGTATACCCAGGGGTGAGCCCCAATGGGTCTGTCCTTGCCATGGTAGGGACCCTGGCTTCAGGATCTCCCCAGCACACTGAATTTCACAAGTTCTTAAGGGCAGGGGCTTCAGAGTCAGCCTGCGGGGTACACTCTGCCACAACATTTCCCTGCTGTGTGACTTTGGGCAAGTTGCCTATAATTTCTCCAAACTTGACTTTTCTCTTCCGTAAAATAGAAATAATTGTCATGCCTACCATAATGAAAGGACAGCCTTAGTACAGGGCCTGTCTGYCACATGATAAACAGTGAACGTTGGCTACTGGAAATACTTGCATCTTTGCTTTGCCCTCCTGACTCTAGGAGAGACAGGGTGGATTTGGAAGGTATATGGTTTTGAATCCTGGCCTTGAGTCACTTAGYTCTACCACCCTGGGCGAATCACTTGAATCCTCTGCCTGCCTCCACAAATGCAAAACCAGGATGTCATTCTTCACTAGCAGAGAGGTTGCAAGAATTAGAAACAATCCTCCCAGAGTGTCCTGTACACCCGTTTTGTACCAGGCACTACTGAGAGAGGCATGCAGACAGGACATGGCTCTTCTCTTGTACCAGTGAGTTCTTCCTGTGCCTGTCACATTTTAAAAGAATGAGACTAGACAGGGAAAGCAGATGGCATGTGCTAGGAATGGAAAAGCATTGGTGAATTTTTATTCAAATCAACTTCATTCTCAAGAATTATTGACCGTTTCCTCATAGTGCCCCAACGTCAGCTCATCATTGTTTTCAGTATTAGTGCAGGTTTTTCTAAAGCCAGCCATTAAGTTTGCCCCAGGTACCAGGAGATATAGATACGGTTTGTTTTGCTGAGACTGGGCCACAACGGATAATCTTGCRCGTCTTCATGGCAGAAATAACCATAGCTCCCTTTCAGGGCCCAATCATCGACTTCCGAGGGCTTCTCACAGACGCCATCAGAGGAGCAACTGGTGAACTTGCCTTGAACACCTTCRACTGTAACCCAGACCCCTCAGTAAGTGGCCAAGATGTGCCATCCAGCTCTCAAACTGCCAAACTCCAGGTGAACCCTGGAAGCATCCTCAGCACTTTGAGTACACTGAAAGCTTGTGATCAAGTCAGAGGTCATAGCAGCCTGTCACCATTTGTTTCGCCAAGATCCTGTTTTTCTTCCTAAATTATGAAGCACTATTGTAATGTGAGCCTTTCTGTTCCTCTCATCAGGAACGATTGCTGAAACCTCTGAGTGCATTTATTGGCATGAACAGTGAGATGCGAGAATTGGCAGCCGTGGTGAGCCGGGTAAGCTCCGCTGTTCAATTCACAAATTTACCGAGGCAAACTGGGGCTCCTAGAGCATTGTGGGCTGCTTCTTTTATTAATAACAATAAATATGATCATTTATTTATAAAGTGCCCCCACTTGCGAAGGCACTCATATTGTTTAGAGGCACAATAATGCATGATAAATAAATTATAGAATCATAAAATTACAATATAAAAAGCCCACTATCTCAGTGTAGAGGCCAAGAAAACCAAAAGACAAAAAGACTTAGAAAAAAGGGACAGGTGAAAGGTTTTTATAGCAGGGCCCAGAGTCAAGGAAAGAAGCCTCTTAGAGAAGGAAAGAGCATATTTGCATTTTGTTTCAAAAATCAAACACATAGGGAGATTGAGAGTCCGATGATCTCATAACTGGAAATTTCCATGAAAAACAGATTAGTAAAGAAAGATTTTACCACCCAGACTAGAGACTTCTCAAGCTCATGCCTCAGAATCTAAATAAAGGCAGTGAAGCTTGATGGTTAGTGACATAAGCTTTGGAGTAAGTTGACCAGCATTTGATTTCAAAATCCTTTTCTTTCTAGCTGGGTGACTTTGAATGAGTTTCCTGGGATTAGAATGGATTCCTAGTCCAGGTTCTTTTTTAGTTTCCACTGATCTTGTTTTTAATTGAAGACTGAAATCAAGGCTGGTTCAGGGAGAGGCTTGAAATGCATTAGGCATGTTCTAGGTCTGGAAACACAAAGGTGGATAGGTCAGACACAGTCCTTGCCTGTAAGAGTTTCTGGTCATGTGGGCAAGTGCACTTTGAGCATGAAGAACGGATATTGTGGGGAAAGAAGACACTAGGAAAAAGCTCAATGAAAAAGAGAGAAAGGTAGGGTAAAAGCACAACTATGTGAAATGGTACCACTTATGCATGTTTCTGGGAATCCAAGTAAGAAGCAGAGAGTAGAAGGAAATGGGATTGGAGATCCAGGGTTCCTGAGGCGGGGCACCCAAGCAGTACTAGGGCTAGGAACTGGCCTCTAGAGACGAGGATCTTTTGACTGATGTTCTCAGGGGATGGGGTCATCAAATGTGCCTGCAGATAATTTGTTCTAGTGGCAGTGAGGTGGATGGATGACAAGGCAATTGAGAGGGAAGGTCAGCTACAAGATTTTTACCAATGAGGGGAGATGGGGGTTTAGGGCCATATTGTGGTGACTGGTATGCACAAGAGAGTAGAGCAAAATATTTTTTAGACTCACAAAAACTCAATAGACTCATTACCATTTTTGCAAAGGAATAACCTGACTGAAGATAGAGCTACAGATAGGAAGTGACCTGTGAGGATTCTGTGTGGAATCCTCTCCATAGAACCAATGGACTTGGCCATTCAGCCCCTGCTTGAATACTTCCAGGCATGGAGAGATGACCACCTGAGGAGGCCTGTTGATACCAGTTATCTGACTGATAACTTCAGAATAATAGAGGAGAAACTGGGGCTGGGAAATTAAACACTACTTTGTGGGACACAGTTGTCAACTCTAGAAAAGGGCAAGAAATACTATTCTCAATGGATGCCTTGAATACCAAGGTAGATGAAGCCCTTCAGCAAATGCAAAGATGTCCTGCAGAAAGGGCAGAAATAAGAATGAGAGTGAGTGGTGGGCTTCCTGCAGATACAGACTTGAAAGACAGGGTGGGCCTCCCAAGTCCTTTCTCTGTCATCCCATCCAGAAATGGATCACGCACATTACACATGAGCCAAACCACTTCTATACATAGTTTCCCTCTTAGACGTGGCACTGCTGTGTTGGGGGAAACTCAAAGAAGGGGAGCAGGGTAGGGCCCTGAYGTGTCACTGACATTTAAAAAATGTACTTAAAAAAAGGCTCATGTTAGATGAATAAAAGGGCAGTTTCCAGATTCATGCTATAGTCACTCTGAATGACTTTTGGAAAGGAGGCTTTTTTTTTGTTTTTTAATGTAACACTCTAGACATTGTTTGCCTGAAATAGCTCCTACACAGAAAGGCCCCTGAGTGGCTGTTCTGAGGCGTCTTGTGAAATTGGAGTTTGAAAACTGTAAATTAGTTATCAGTAAAAGCTACCTTAATTGATTACCCTCGATGGTTGCTACAGGGCTCTCCTGTAAGAGGGGAAACRGCTTTGGCTCGGTTGTCGGCTTCCTTGAATTTTGCAGAAGCAATTGCTCCTGCTGAAAGTAGGGAGCTATCACTAGGGAAAAAAGAGAAATTGGTTTCAGAGGAGCATCATCTCTTTTATGCAACAAATTAACAAAGTGTTTGCCAGATCAAAGAGCAAGAGAGAAGTCAGGCAACTATAAGGAACTGTTTTGCAGTGAAAATTAGTGTAATTTTAAGGCAGATTCTGTAGCTTCTTTGATTATGGTCATAAATCAGCATGGTGTGTTATTGACTGAAGACAGAGTCCATTGTTAGGAGATATTTTTTTTTCCTTTTTAAAAGAATCATATTATATCATCAATATCTTTTTCAGGGAAAATCATTGAATATTTTAATTATATCCCTTTGGTGAGCTAACCCCAAATTACAATGTATACATATACATATATCTAATATGAAAAATTTTGATCACCAGCCCTTTATATTCTATTGTAAGTCAAGTTCTCTGCTCCCATGTTTATTACAGCTATGGAGGAAAAAAATTAGTTTTAACAAAATGATCAAATGTGCATTGCAGGACATTTATCTCCATAATCCAAACATAAAGTGGGATGACATTATTGGACTGGATGCAGCCAAGCAGCTAGTGAAAGAAGCTGTTGTGTATCCTATAAGGGTAAGAATGGCAGGGGTGGGGGTGGGGGTATTTCTGCTCATTATCCATTGGACAAGCTGTGTGTCACACACCTTTCAGGAAAGACAGGCCAGGATGATTTTCTGTCCACAAGTTAACTTGGTGCCTGTCACAGCACTTTGTCAACACTATGGCATCAGGCCTAGCCCATTCTGGACACTTTAAACTCATGTCTCATATTGGTTCCAGGCAGATGTCTGCTTGATGTGATCATTGAAGATCTAGGACTCTGTCTTGTATATTTGATTTGTCAGCCACTACACATTGGCTCCAATGAGCCTCCCTCTCTAAAAATAAACTTAGTATGGTAAAAATAGCTCCAGTACTGCAAACAAATAAAAAAGTAATTTGATTTCCTATAAAAAAAAAGAAAAGAAAAGAAAAAGAAAAAAAGAAATAGCTCTGGTAGGAGAGGACCTCTCACTTGGTTTCTATARGTGCTCCCTTACCAGTATTGCTTGGGCCGATTGTGAAGGGCAGACAGTACCTTCCCGGACAGGAGCCAGCAGAGCCAGAAAGCTGTGCTCATTACATATTCCTGACAAATTTCTGCATGGCTCACAAAATAGGTAGAAGAATAGAAAAACAATTCTCTCCAAACAGGATGAGGAGGAGGTCAGGGAATCACATGGTATTTGCTGCATCAGAGACCCAAAGAGTGTATAAGGCACAACTTAGGGCCTTAGCCCCATAACCATTTATTGTCTTATAATTCTGAAGGTTGGCAGTTTGGGCTGGCAGCTGGGCCAGCTCTTCTCTTTTCCATATGGTGTTGCTGACCCAGCTCAACCATATGTTCAGGGCATCAGCCAGAGACACTGGAAAGGTTGGGATAAGTGGGTCAGTTGGGGCCTCTCTCCCTTAGCAAAGGAGTCCAGTCCTGTTCACAGAAGGCTCCCAGAAAGAGGTAAGAAAGGGCAAGGCCTATGTGCTTAGCATTTTTCATATCTCTTCTTACACTGCTTAAATTTGCTATTCTTATACTTATTTAGTTTCTTATTGTATTTGCCAATGTCCCATTGGCCAAAGTCACAAGTCCAGGCCCAGGATCCAGTGGTGGAGAAATAGATTCTACCTTTTCATGGCAAGAGCTGCAAAGAGTCTGTGGCCATGTCCTATAATCTCCTGCAGCCAGAATCATTTTATTGAATAACCTACTTATTCTTACCCGGGAGCCCATGAAGCCTTTGTTTTTTGGGGGCTTTTATTCTAAGAAGACAAAAATCAATAAATTGATTGTCTTTCCCCCTCATTCTTCCTGACTTCAGATATGGGAGTAAGAAATACCTTGGTGTTTGAAGTTAATAGAAATTTACTCATCTTTTCCTCCAAGTAGAAGCATAGTACAAAACGTTTAGAAAGGATAGAACATCTCACTGAAATTCTCTGGATGTGTGACAGCATTTTAAACTTGGCATGGGATGATATTCAGATTTGACATCAGGATTAGCAAGAAATGAAGAGCCAGCTGCAATTTTACTATTCTTTTTCCTTCCCCTTGTTCTCTGCAGATCCCACCCACTGCCCAGATTATTTGAATTTGAACTAAAGAAGAGGCTCACTGAGGTCCATGCATGCCCTTCTGCAGTCAGTTTCTCCTCAAGTATTTGTCACTGAATGATCCCTGTTTATTTATTTATTTATTTGCTGCTGAGGATCAAACCCAGGACCTCACACATTCTAGGCAAGCACTCCACTAATGGGTGACACCCCCAAAGTTTTTTGTTTTTGTTTTTAATTATTTTGAGATGAGTCTCACCAAGTTGTTCAGATTGGACTTAAATTTGTGATCCTCCTGCTTCAGCCTCCTGGATAGTTGGGATTCCAGGAGACTGCCTCCACACCTGACTGCCTCCACACCTGACTGCCTCCACACCTGACTGCCTCCACACCTGACTGCCTCCACACCTGACTGCCTCCACACCTGACTGCCTCCACACCTGACTGCCTCCACACCTGACTGCCTCCACACCTGACTGCCTCCACACCTGACTGCTTCTCACTTCTAACTCAGGTTTCACCAGAGCTTTGTATTTCACTCACTTACACCTTTATTATGGGTTCTTTTGTGGGTTTTTGTTTGTTTGTTTTGGTTTTTGTTTTATGTACCAGGGCTTGAACCCAGGGGCACTTAACCACAGAGCCACATCTCAAGGTTTTTTTTTTTTTTTCTTTTTGAGACAGAATGTCCCCAAGTTGCTTAGGGCCTTGCTAAATTCCTGAGGCTGTCCTTGAACTTGTGATCCTCCTGCCTCAGCCTCCTGAGCTGCTGAGATTACAGGATTGCACCACTGTGTGTCCCCCACCCCTGTTCTATTGTTTATCTTCTAGATCTTACTTGTTTTACAACATTCAAAAGATTTCCAAGTACTATATATGAATACACAACCATTGTAACTCCACATAATGTTCAACCATAAGGATGGGATCCTAATTAGAATAAGTTATATTCCATGTATTTGTATAATATGTTAAAATACACTCTACTGTCATGTATATCTAAAAAGAACAAATTAATAAAAATTAAAAAAGATAGCCAAATATTCTACACATAGAACTATAGGAGAAATGACATTGTGCATGTAAGAAATAAGYATTGATTTAAAAATGTCTCCTGTATGAATTTGTAACAAAAAATCCCACTATTATGTATAATTATGACTCAAGAATAATTTTTTTTWAAAAAACTATTATATTGGAGGGGAATAGAGGCCTTTCTTTTAAAAAAGATTGCTCTTTTAGAATTCACAAACAGGTTCAATCATTCTTATCCAGCATGGAAATAAAATTGGGATAAATAATATATACAGAATAGCAGATCTTAAACAAGCAAAAGGAATCCCTGGATTGTAGAGTTGGGCTGTGTTTTGCTCTAGCAGTACCAACTCTCTGTGCTAAGGGGGCACCGGCTGGTGCATTGATACCAAACCTCCTCATTGTTCCCTGTTTCTTTTCCCCACAGTATCCACAGCTATTTACAGGAATTCTTTCCCCCTGGAAAGGACTACTGCTTTATGGCCCTCCAGGTAACACAGCTTCCCATTTCTGGGTTGGTAGGAAGTGTGTGTGCAGAGGATGAGTTGCTACTGTGTCCTCCTGAGGACTGGGGCAGTTGAGAGCTGTTGACCACTGCCTCTTCCCTGTGTGAGCCTGACTTGCGCCTGTCAGGGAAACTGGAGTTTAAGCATCGGCTCATGTTTATCCCCATGTGTCTCTAGGTACAGGAAAGACCTTACTGGCCAAAGCTGTGGCCACCGAATGTAAAACAACCTTCTTTAACATTTCTGCATCTACCATTGTCAGCAAATGGAGAGGGGATTCCGAAAAACTTGTTCGGGTAGGAATCCTTAATTTTGTATCTTTTTAAAACACAAGTTCTTGTAGAATACAGTGGAAATAAAATGGTGTTAGGAGGGTGGGGATATAGCTCAGTTGATAGAGTGCTTTCCTCACATGCACTAAGGTCCTGGGTTCAATTCCCAGCACACCTCCCCCCGAAAAAAAATAATGTTCAAGCTTACTTGTTTTTAGGTGATACCTGTGCTAGATTTTGTCCTGGGTCTTGATTACCAAAAGCTGGGGAAATGGGTTGACTATTTTATGTGGATGTTAATCTTGCTTCATCAGCAGAACATGATCTCCTTTCTTTTGGAATTTTACCAACAGTCTTTTTTTTTTTTTTTTTTTTTTTTTTTGATTGATGCAACTTAGGAATGGAACCTGGGGATGGGGGAATGATCTCTGAAGTGGCCTATTGTGGAAATATTCATTATTAAGTATGTGCAGTAGTTTCAGTCAACATTTATTCAGAGGCTACCACTGTATGCTCATTCCTATGCCAAGTACTCTATAGAAAAATCAGGAGGCTTAAAACTTAATTATTCTTTCAGATGCTTTGAGCAAATCTCTTGCACTGTGCTCACAGCCTGAGGGTTTTAACCTTCCTTAAAGGGTTGTATCAATCTTTACAATGTTTCATTCTTAGTCTTGGACACATTTTACATTATAAAAATTTACTATATCTTCCAGTCAGTCACCTTAAGAGAATTTGTGTCTGTGATTTATGCCTCAATGTAAGGTGGATCCTTTCCAGAAATCCTGTTAAACTATTGCTTTTTGTAGAAGACTGATAAGTAATCAATACTAAGTGAATATAAAGTATTATGTATTTTCTGAAAAGAAATTACCCTAAAATATTACTCTGAAATTACGTTCCCTTGAATGACTCATTTCCAAAAGATTATGGTCTACTTGAAAGTCATAATGGAATATTTTAAAAGAATTGATTTACCTAACATAACCTATTATTTATTGTTTTGATTTTATTTTCAAGTTGTTTCACTTGTGTATGTTTTTGTAATTCTTTTTTTTTAACTTATCTTTATTTTGTTCATTTACTTTTATGTGGTGCTGAGGATCGAACCCAGTGCCTCACATGTGGCAGGCAAGTGCCTTACCACTGAGCCACACYAAAGCCACCATTGTATATTCTTATCACCCCTTCAGGGCTATAATTTGTGAAAACATTCATTGATATTTACTTTGATCTTTACCTTGAGTCTAACTTAGTGCCAGGTTCAAAAATGGGGCTGGTATTTGTCTGTTCCTACATTTGCTGTTTCCACGGGATTATGGTTCACTGGATTTCAATTAGCTGAAATTCAACTAACTGAAATCCATGTGGTCTGAGGCCTTTGGGAGGCATTTCATTTTTGTATGCTGAGTCACAACAAAACCCTTGAAAGATGTACCCCAGAATCTACTTAGATTCATCTCCTGTCATAAAGAGTGGTGTTTAGAGCCACAGACACAAGACATTGCCAAATTCTCAAAGAAAGATTCATTGTACTTCCCAGATAAGACTTACCTAGGCAGAAGACTATATTCTGATATTTTATGAATATTCTTATAAAATGAATACTTTTAACAGAGTTTGAAGCTAAATGGATTTTATTATTTAATGATTAACTGATAAAAAAGTCAATTAACTAGAACTCTCTCTGTGAGCATTTTATTTAGCTAAAGTTTGCTTTTGCTTCAGTATTATTTTGTTAGAACTCTGAGAGTGAACTCTGATGCTTGCATAGCCTTCCAGAACACGCATATATACTTTTATTAACATTATTGTGTATTTCTCTTTCTTCTTAAATACAAGTAAGAATACACTATACATTGCCTTCTGGACCTTGCTTTCTCAACACTTTACAAAATAACTTAGATATGGTTCTAGACTATTATATTTAAAAACATTCTTTCATATGTCTACATGGTACTTCATTGCATGGATGTACCAAGTGTCTTTAACCTGTTTTTTACTGATGGACATTTAGGTTGCTTCCAGTCTTCTGTGATTATGAACAGACCTAGGAGGACAGTCTCCTATACACATGTCTGTGCATGTTAGTACAGAGGGCAATTGCTACAGAGTAGAGGGGATGAACATCACTGATTGCTAAATTACTCACCCACAAGATTGTAGTAACTTACAGGCCCATTGATAGTTTTTGCATCTGAGTTGCTTCCCCACGCTCTGACCAATACTGTGTAGTATCAAAAATTAAAAAATCTTTATCAATCTGAGTGAAAAATAATGTTTCAGTGCTTATGCATTTCAATATTTTAGTACTTGTATGTTCCTCTTTGATTTGAAATGAGTTTGAGCATCTTTTATAGGTTTAGAATATATTTTTTAATGAAGTGCATTTTTACTTGAATATTAGAAAAAATAATCCAAGGACAAATAGGTAACTTCTGCCAACCTTGAAGGATCTAAACTCTTTTCTTTTTATAAATTACTTTGTTTTCTCCTGCTGGGTGTGGTGTTACACTCCTGTAATCTCATCGATTTGAGAGGATGAGACAGAAGGATCTCATGTTCAAGTCCAGCCTTAGCAAATTAGTGAGACCCTGTCTCAAAATACAAAAATAAAGGGCTGGGATGTAGCTCAGTGGTAAAACACTCCTGTGTTCAATCCTCAGTACCCCCACTCCCCAAAAAGAAAAAAAAAACATAACACAAAGGAAACTTTATCCTTATTTTTGGAAATCTTGGAGAGATCCTCACCTAGAAAACCTGGGTCATGCRGTCAAGCCCTTTCCTGTGAAGCATTCAGATAAAGAAAGCCCTTTAGGACCTTCCCCTAAGTCAGAGAAGCTTTTCCTGACATTTGTTTCTCTTTCTATTCCAATTAAGAGTTATTTATAGGGAACCTTTGGGCTGTGTTCCTCCCTCCTGTTCTAATGTTCATGCCTCTTAGGAGTTGAGCACTATCGAATAGTTGAGTGATCTCTTTAGCAAATGCATATACCTGTTGGTGCTTACATCTTTCACTGCCCCCCACCAATTGTATGACTTAACTTCCTCCAAGTACCTCTGAAAATTTTAGACTAATGCTTCCAGAAGCACTTACCCAGGATTCTATTTATTCTCTGGGAGTGGGAAGAACAGTGACGTGAGCAGTACGGTGACCTCGGCTCTCGATGTGGCTCTCCTTGCAACTGGGTGGCAGTTGATCTAGTTGAGGCGATTGTTCTCTTGCTCCTGAGTGAGCTCTTTAAAAATCACATAGTTCTAATGTTCTGTTTTCCACTGGGAAGATCAATGCTGTAGTAATCACCCTCAATGTCAGATGTACTGGGGCTTTCCTTTGTGAGACAAGGAAGAAAACTTACTTTGTTCCAGTTAGGTAGGCTCCAGTGTATTTAAAAAGCATTCGAGACAAGTGTCCAATCATTGCCCCGATTCTCTCATGTCATTAGACTGAGATTCTCTGAAAGGAAAAAGGTGACCCATGGCCTTGCATGTACCCGTTTCCCCAGCAATGACAAAGATGAGGAATGCCCCACTCCAGGAAAGAAGGCCTGTGAGGGATAACCTGCTGCTGTTGGAAAGCCACAATCCAGCTTTTCCTGAGCCCCTCCTCTCTTATTTGTTCTGTGATGCTTTGCTAGTGCTAAGTGACAGAGAATAAATCCCCCGTGGCTATTAAAGAATCTCTATTCTTTTCTAAATCTCTTCTGCTTTCTCCGATCAACCAGTGAAGAATTGTATATGGTGCTCAAGAGATCAGTTTCAGGGTTTAAAAAAAAAAAAAGGTTTAGATTTTTATACTGTTTTCATCACCGCCATGTCTCCCTTTAGAGCTCTTTATTTTGTTTTTATATGTCTGTTCTTTTGCTGGTTGCTTTCCTGTTCTTGTTCAGTTTATAATATTTCATCTTGGAATAGCACATCTTACTCAACCAAGAATTGCCTTTATGTACCTGATTGTACCAAGCAGCAGTGTGGAGGAATTTAGGAAACAGAAAGGGGCAAAATTTTTCAGCCCTGTCAACCATGACTGGAACCCTATCCTTTCCCTTTCCTTCTGAGAAAGACCTTCCTATTGTCCCCACAGATTAAGTGAAAAACCATGAAATGATTTTACAAATCCTAAGGCTCTGTGTCTATATGGAACGTGCTATTGGCAGGGTGTCCTCCACGTTAACCAACCAAGGGAAACTTGAGTTTTCTCTTCAATTCTCCCATTTATGATTAGTAAACTTGAACTAACCACACACTCTCTTTGGCTCTAATTTTATCAGGTGATAAATGGAAATAATTGGACCATCCAACCCCCTGGGGTGGTAGTAGGGAGAAATAACGGTAATGATTATAAAGTTACTGTGAAATAACAGAGTGCAGAATGAATGCGTATTATTATAGTCATTCTAAGCTTTTAGTCTCTGGGAGTGTCTGAGGACTTTGACTTAGGTACATGATGAGGACTTTAAGTATATGAATTTGAACTTGGCTTGCTTTTCCCCCACCCAGGTTTTATTTGAACTTGCCCGTTATCACGCCCCCTCCACGATCTTCCTGGACGAGCTGGAGTCGGTGATGAGTCAGAGAGGCATGGCTCCTGGGTAACAGACGGGGTTTTTTTTGTTCATCATTTCTCCCCTCTTGTAAGTGTGTTTGATGGTCGGAAGCCCATCGACATTTACCAGCAGAATGAGCCTATTAATAAGCCCACAAATTTTCTGCAGACACATGGAAAGGTCTTTAAATTAGATCCTGTTAACTGAATAGCTGATTTAAGTAGTTTTTATAACCRGAGGAAATGTCATTCTCCCTTCCCCCCCACCCCACAGAGTGGTTCGGAGGCCTGAAGATCATCCAGTCCCAGGATCCCAGGCTGCCACAGTGGTCCCACTGGCTCAAAATAGCTGCCTGTGACCCCCTCCTCTGGAGCCGGAGGGCTGCCCGTGGGGAATGGGGCTTGCCCACTCAGCTCCTGCAATGGGCCAAGTCTGGAGGCAGTCCTTGTCAGTGGGAGAGGCCAGGAAGCCCCTGTTTCTCTGACATCAGGTTGCGGCTCAGCATGTCTGATTTTAAATATGTCACATATGTTATTTGTAAAGATTAAGTGTCAGCTAATGTCCCCAGCAGGAAGGAACACTTCTCAGACTGTAACAAGCCTCTGTTTATGCTTTCAAAAGGCCAAGTAGGGTTTTCTGTTTGTTTGTTTGTTTGCTTGATTTTAAGTCTTTCTGTCTTTGATCAGAGGTATTTTTCTCTGAAACTTTTCATTATTTTTGGCATTCCTGACTTGCAAAAACAGGTCTGGAAAATCTCAACACAGCTGCATTTATTAATGACCTCTAATAGTCTACCATTAACGCAGAATAGTAATGAAAAGCATAATAGTTGTACTTGTTGAAAATATAACTACAATATAATTTATGACATTTATGCACTGTAAGTCATCTTTCCGGCAGGGAAAATAAAGCATGAGGATGCACCCAAGTCAGTTGAGATTCATGCAATTGATTGAAGTGGGACACTTTCCATGGTTTAACCATTGCTTGTCAGCCGCAGGCTGCGGCACTCTGCTTCTCTAAATGGAACCTGCCAGGAGCAGAGAGCCCCTGACCATCCCATAATTATTCCCCCCTGCAAAAACAAGCCCTATGTGGCCTGCCCTGCAGTGGTAACCTGTGCACTAGCTCTTATGTTTGCCGTATAGGTTTTTCTCCCCCAGGGTCGCCACAGCATTGATGGCTCCAAGTTTTGCCCTGAGTTTCAGTTTCCTTGTCTGAAGCTTGAAGATTCTAAAGCTAGAGTCTTCAGAGAGTCAGGAAGTAATGTCAGGTACTCTGAAGTGAAAGAATCAAAATTATGGGCAAATGCTAAATAAACATATAACTGTACCATAAAAGAGCCTTCTCTCTTAGGAAATGATAGTTGTGTACTAAGAGGCATAGATCCTAAGAAGCCTTAGATAGGTTGAGCATCCCCAAGTTGAAAATGTAATATCTGAAGTGCTCCAGAACCTGAAACTTCTGAGCTATAACATGATGCCACAAGTGGAAAATTCTACACCATGAAGGTTTGTTTCGCKCATGGAATTATTAAAAATATTGAGTACATTTCCTTCAGGCTATGTGTGCAAGGTATACATGAAAGACAAATTAACTTTATGTTTAAACTCAGGTCCTTTTCCCAGGATATCTCATTATGTATATGCAAATATTCCAAAATTCAAAAAAAATCTGAAATTCGAAATACTTCTGATCAAAACATTTTAAATAAAGAATACTCACACTGTACTTAGTTTGGGTTGCCACCCCGTACATGCACAGAAAGTTGAATGCCGTTTTGCCCAAGAAAGGTACTTTTTTATACTTTTAACTAAATCTATGCAAGTGAAGAGGAAAGAGAGTCTGCTGAACGTGGTCAGTGTTTCCATCCAGTTTGAATTGGTTGGGTTCTTATAACTTGTTCTTTCTTAGTGATAACATCTCAGGCAATAGAGGGCTTAGAGGGCAAATTTGCACAGAAAAGTGCCTCCACTCTGCTGTGCAAAGAAAACACAGGTTCTATGTCAATATCTTGCCTCTTATTAGAAGAGAACAAAGCAGATTCAGTATAGTAATTCACCTCTCTTGAAAAATTTAGATCTATAAATTATACTAAAAGTAATACTCTGTGAAAGTGCTTTTATGCTTACCATATAAATAAAAGAGATTATTCTTAATTATTTCAGTTTTCAAAGCAGTAAACGATGTTGCAGGTAGACATAGCCTGGCTATATTTAATCTACACATTGGCACTGTTCACCCTTCAGTTATTTTCCAATTCACTGCTAATCTTTGGATTTCTTTTAAATACCATCATTCTATTTGTTTTCTTTTTTTCCTATTGCTCTCTATGTGAACATAACACCACCCTGCTTATTTTCTTTAACTGACTTGAGTGGCTTCGTTTGCTATCAGAACAGTCACTGGGTCACTGCTGTGAGTGCCACTCTTGTCATGAGGTCAAAACCTCTGCCACTTGAGAGAAATCATGTCTTTTTTGTCCCTCTATAGGGGAGAACATGAAGGAAGCCTTCGGATGAAGACAGAGTTACTGGTGCAGATGGATGGGCTGGCACGCTCAGAAGATCTCGTGTTTGTCTTAGCAGCTTCTAACCTGCCATGGTAAGAAATCAAGAGTACATGTTGAATACATTTTCATGAGCCACTAAGTACAGGTGAAGATTTTATAGTGATTGCTTTAGGCAAAACCTAGTTGTTTGGTTCCAGCCCTGGAAGATTAATTGGAAGGCTTACTGCTCATGGCCCCAGTCCTTGCTATCCGTACCAGGAAGGAATCTGCCTTAATAGAACACAGGCCTGGGCTACCGCTGGCAATATTTAAAATGGACATTTTGAGTTTAAAGCTAAATTATATGTAGTCAGTCTCTGTACTCACTGGTACTGCAGCCACAGATTGRACCAACTGCAGACTGAAAATGTTGGGGGAAAATTATGTTTGGATTGAACATGTACAGATTTTTTTTCTCTTGTCATCATTTCCTAGACAATATTATCTAACAGTGACTCACCTAGCATTTCCATAGCATCAGGTATTACAGATAATCTTGAGAGGATTTAAGGTATGTAGGTGAATATGCATGAGCTATGTGTGAATGCTGTGCCATTTTATATAAGGGGCTTGAGCATCCTCAAATTTTGGTATCCACAGGGCGTGGAGGTGTGGAACCAATCCCTCTTGGAATCAGAGGGATGATTATACTATGTTTAAATTAAGCAGGGTTTTTGGCATGGTACTTTCAAAGGCTTCAAATCTCCAGGTCTCAAAGAATATTCCAGAAATAATGTTTGGATTTTATCAGCATGAAAATTTGTTAGAGTCTGTAAACAAGTCTGGATGGCGCCTGGCATTTTGCCAGAGGGAGTGGTTTGTGAAGTAACGCCAGGGAGCCATTAAGTGTGGAGATTCCTTATTGGTTGACTGCTGTATCTATTTTATGTTAATTAAGATAAGCTGTGTGGAATGTATATATACCACTCCTGTCCTACAATAAACGGCTCCCACTCCTGCTGTATCAATCTACACAAGTTTTTCGTCACCCCCTGGTTATTTTGCTGCAGCCGGACTGCGGCAAAAATTAAACTTTTAAGTTAGGAGGAAAATCTTTTTTTTTCATGTTGTACAGTAAACAGAAAGCTAAATAATCTCTAATTGAAAATATAATCTACTCTCAGTGTCTTTTATTCAAACTGCATCTCAGAGTGGTTTAAGAACAATTCCAGAGGTGGAATTGGGAAATAAGAGATGTTGACTAGGGAAAAATAATATCTACTTGGAAAATATATTTTAAAAAACAATTATAGTCCCTTTATAGTTTTAAGAATATTTTCACATACTTTTTTTTTAAGAGCCACAGGTGAGGCAGGAGACAGATAAAGGAAATGTTACTTTTCCCATTCTCAGAGGGGGACCAAAGTCAAGAGAGGTCAATCTACTCAAAGTCAACAGCAATGTTGTACTGAGTTGGGATTTGTGACTCTGCCTCTACCTGCCCACCTGCCCTCCCTCCCCATCTCTTTTTCCACATTCAAAGATAAAAAGAGAAAACTCTTTCATAGTATATGCTGATCATCTGGGATCCCAAACAAGAATTCACTGAGAAGAAATCATGGCATTCACATGCAATCTGTTGTTTAAAATGTATTCATAATTTAAAATTGGCTCCACCTCCCTATGCATTTATAAGACTTTCTCTATTGTGCTCAGGTGTTGAGCAATTATTTTCAAAATGTAAAAAAAAAAAACCAAAAAAAAAAAAAAAAAGAACAAAAAACAAACATTATTCTCTCAAGTGTTAGGAGCTTTGCTCTCATGACAAGAGTGGTACTCACAGCAGTGACCCAGTGGCTGTAAAACAGGTTCTGTTCTGATAGCAACCAAAGCCACTCATGTCAGTTAAAGAAAATAAGCAGTGTGGTATTATGTTCACATAGAAAGCAATAGAAAATTTTGAATGCTACATTTTGAAGATGTATCGATATTTACACACAATATTAAGGTGAAGTTAAACAGAGAACTGTCATTTAAATATCAGTTTAAGTAAAAATTATTGTAAGCTATTATTTTGGACTAAATTCCTGCATGGATCTAAACAGACCAGACTGAAAATCAAAATAGAGTCACCCATGGTAATTCCAAGTCACCAAACTGGAACTGAGCTGTAATCTGCCCTTTTGAGAAATCAAGAGATAGAGATACTAACCCAAATTCCCAAACTAGATAGTTTTGATTGGTATAAGGATGAAATTAATTTGCTTTAATAATTAAAAATATGAAGTAAGGGCTGGGGTTGTGGCTCAGCAGTAGAGCGCTCCCCTAGCACGTTTGAGGCCGGGTTCGATCCTCAGCACCACATAAAAATAAATAAACAAAATAAAGGTATTGTATACAACTAAAAAATAAATATTAAAAAAAGAACAGAAACAATTTAAAAAATAATTGAAGTAACATGATATTAACCATTTGCTTTCCTATTGTTCTGCTCCCCATCTCTGCTTTACAAAAAGAAACAAAAAAAATGTGATTTTGAAACTATCAATCCACTTTTCATTCTTTATTTCTGCTTTCTTCAACCTTTATCTATAAAAATCAGCCCCTTCTGCTGAGCTCACTGGAACACTTACTATATTTTATGATATGTTACCTGATCCTGGAATCTCAAAGCCAATAAAGATCTTTAAACCTAATTTGTTATAATTGATAAATGAGATTTGATGAATGGAAYCCTTTAGGGAAGGAATCTCCTTCATCCATTTGAGATGGGACTGAACATAACCACTTTACTAAGCCTCAGGGTGACCGTGAGAGTCCACTGGGATGGGTATGTTTTGAAAATGTCTCTTTGCAGTTGAGTTACTGAACTGGTACCAAACACATTTGCACTTTGTAATTGGTTATACTCTTCCATCTCTTTTAATCTAAAACAGACTTCACTCCCCATGTGCCATTTGCCATTGGCTTGTTGAATGCTAGGGAGATTGTCCTGCAGAATGTCCACACTTCCTAGATTTCGCTCATTGAATCCTCATGGTAGTAGTTAGCTGTTCTTCTTATCCCTGTAATTACTCTAGACTAAAAACTAGATTGATTAGATTCAGCMTTAATAGGCTTTTTGGGGCAAACCTACTTCATAGGCAACACAGTGTACATCACATTGCGTCTGTCCAGAGGTTTGCAATGGCTGGTTCCTCCACTTTTGGCTTTCTGAGACTGGCCTGGGGGCACAGGTGTGTCCATCTAGCTCCTCTGCTATACATTCCTATTGATGATTCAGTATCCACTGATGGTCTTTGTCAGAATCCATTATTTCACTCTGGATGTGATTCTGTTATCCCTTCTGCTGGGTAGGTGGAATTATGGGATCATTCTCTACAACAAGAACTTCCCCCTCATCAGCAGGGTTACTAGATTATCTTGCAGTATAGTTCATACTAGAAAAGCAGCATTATTCCTCTTTGATTTTTAGAGCTTCAAGGTGATATCTTAGCCGCCTCCCCAGTGACCAATGGATCAGCATAAGCCTCTCTTTCCCTCCCTCCCTCTCTTATCACTATGATTTCATGGCTTGAGTTGTATAATTCCATTAGTTTTGTGAGTTTTAAAAAAACTTTATTGACCTATAACTCACATATTGCACAATTCATCCATTTAAAGGGAACAGTCTAATGGTGTTAAGTACAACCATGTCATATGTTGTGAGAAATGCAAAATTAGGTGATTTTTGTTTTTGTATGAATGTCATTGAGTGTACTACACAAACCTAGGTCAATCATTCAGTGTGGCTCTGGATGCAATTGGGAGACCTGGCAAATGAGAGATGTATATGGCGGCTGTCTGTGAAACAGCACACTGTTTACAGCCAAGTTAAAAAAAAAAAAAAGTAGAAGGAATACACTCGAAAGTAATAATAACAAGTATAGAATAGAGCCATGCACAATGGCGCACAAGTTCAAAGCYGTGATTCTCCTGCCTCAGCAACTTGGCGAGGCCTTAAGCAACTCAGTGAGACCTTGCCTCTAAATAAAATACAAAAGGGCTGAGGATGTGACTCAATGGTTAAGTGCCCCTGGGTTCAATCCCCAGTACCAAAAAAGTATAGAATGTTAAATATGTAAATCAGTAAATTTATTATCATTAGCAAGTATTGAGTATTGTTTGTAATATTACGTGCTCTGTTTTATATGACTGGCAATGGAGTAGGCTTGTCTACACCGGCATCACCATAAGCACATGAGTATTGAATCACACGATAATATGATGACATCACGAGGCAGTGGGAATTTTCAGCTCAGTTACACTCTCCTGGGGCTACTGTCATACATGCATACCACCATTGTCTGAAACATCATTATGTGGTGCTTGGCTATGGTGAATTTATAGGATTTTTAAAACCATTACCACAATCAATTTTAAACCAAGTTTTCTTTGCCCCCAAAAGGAACTCKACCCATTAGCCATTGCCCCATTCTTCCTCGACCCCCAGCACTAAGCAACCACGGATCTATTTTCTGYCTCTATAGATTTGCCTATTTCATACCTATGCATTGGAATTATTGGGTCATGTGGTAACTATGTTTAATCATTTGAGGAACTGCAGACTGTTTCCAAAGTGGCTGCACCATTTCACATTCCCCGTTGCAATGGATGAGGATTCCAATTTCTCCCCATCCTCATGAATGCATGTTATTTTCTTTTTGAGTATAGTACAGTCATCCAAGTGGATGAAAAGTGGTATCTTGTGCTTTTGATTGCATTATTTCCATGATGACTAATGACATTGAGCATCTTTTCATGTAGTTATTGGCCAATTGCACATCTTCTTTGGAGAAATGTTTTTTTTTTCAATTTTTTTGTTTATGTAAAAATTTCTTTCTTTTTTTGAGTAAGTATACTCTGGATACAAGTCCTCTACCAGATATATGATTTGTAAGTATTTTCTCCCAGCCATGGCCATGAGTTCCTTCCCTCTGTCAACCTAAATAACAAACAAAGAAAAATTCAGCAAAGATTAGTAAGTTTATTTGGGAGCAGTAGCACTCTGCAGTAGGAACACATAGTCAACTATGGCATCGGCCACCATCTCCAGCTGACAGTAACATTCTGA